CTTCGCGGTTCTGCTCCGACTCCTCCTCATCCTCCTCCTCCTCCTCCTCCTACTCCTACTCCTACTCCTCCTCCTCCTCCTCCTACTCCTACTCCTTCGCGGTTCTGCTCCGACTCCTCCTCATCCTCCTCTTCTCCCGTGGGAGGCGGCGCGCGAGCGCGAAGCTCTCCGCACTTCGCGCAGCGCGCAGCGCGCAGCGGCAGCGCCAGGAGCAGACGGGCTGCTCGGGGGCAGAGCGGCAGAGCGCGCGGCTCCGAGCCATAGCCACAGTGGCCTGTGAGGAGGAGGAGGAGGAGGGAGGAGGAGGAGGAGGAGGAGGAGGAGGAGGAGGGAGGAGGGAGGAGGAGGAGGAGGAGGGGGAGGAGGAGGAGGAGGAGGAGGGGAGGAGGAGAGGAGGGGGAGGAGGAGGAGGAGGAGGAGCAGGAGGCGCGCCCCCCCCCCCCCCCCGCCGCGGCAGGCCGTCACGCGGCCGCCGCCAGCGCCCGCCGCCGCGGGCTTCCGGCCGCAGCCGCGCTCGCCGCGCCCCGCGCCGGAGGGCACCGCCGTGGCGGACGAGATCGGCCCTCGCGGGGGGGCAAACCCGAAACTCGGGTCAGGCCGGGCATGCCCCCCTACAGTCCGTTTTTTGTTATATATATACATATATATATGCACCGACAATGTTTAAGAACTGCTCAACACATCGTCCCCGTATCATGTCTCGACTATTTTTGAGCCCTCCTCCTGCAGAGGGACGAGCCCGACTTAACACTCGGGCGGGGCTGCTGCGGCTGCAGGGCGTGGGCGCCTCGTGTGTCCTCGCAGCTCCGTCTCTGGGGCGCCTTCGCGTGCGCTCGCGCCTGGTGGTCGATGAGAGCGCGCCGATGCGGTGTCGATGCAGCGCAGATGCAGGACCGATTTGGGGCCACCTTGCGCCGATTAGCGTCGATTCGCGTCGGGCGGGGCTACCCAGAGATCCAATGTGTTGAAATAACCAACACTGCTTTGTTTAGTTTTCTCCTGGCTCTGGAGGCCCTCTCCGGGCCCCGGGACCGTCAAAACACGACTTGGGATGAAGGTGCGACAGGGGTGAACTCTCTCAACTCGTTCCAGACCGCTCCGGAACGCTCTCAGAGCGTTCCGGAACGCTCTGAGAAGGCTGCGGCGCCCGATGCATCTTCCAGAACCGATGGATTTCAGAGATGCCAGATTTCTCCCTGTCTGATGTCGTCCCTGTTGTGGCTTCGTCCTACAAGGCCTCAGACTCAGGCGACGCAAAGCATGTAGTGTCGGCCAGTTGCTGAACATTTTTTGCCCCTGGAGGCCGTTTCCCTGTGGCACGAAAGAAGGACTCCAGGGGAAGCGTCGAGATCCCCCGGGATTCACGCCACCAGAACATCGCAACGTGGGGCGGGAGGGGGCCCCGAACCTCGAGAGGATCGGGATTCGAGGTTCGAGGCGTTCGGCCCGTTTCGCTCTCTCTCTGGGCCTCCCGGAAGCTTCTCGCCGTCGCTGCTGGTTCGGGGTGGACAGACCTCCTGCCCTGACACGTCGATTCAGGAGTTGGCCGTTTTCGGTTCGCGAGAGGGCGTCGCGGCCGTCATTTCTGCGGGTCCAGGTCCGTCAGTTTCGGTCCCAGGCCGTTTTCACTAAGGGGAGGTTTACTAAAGGGAGGCCTGCCCACCGCCGAGCTGGACTGTCCTCGAGAGTCCAGTCGGTCTGGGAGTAAACTTCCAAGACCCCCTCTTTTCGGCGTGCCGTGAAGACCCATTCCAAGACACACTCTGCTTGCCTCCAGAGTGTCCTGGGTGTCTTGGGTTTCGATGGTTTTGCTGTGGAAAGCGTGACCTTCCCACGCCAGAAATCAATGGACGGACGTCCTGGGGTCTCAGGGTTGGGTTTCTTGTGGAAAGTTTCTCCATGGACTAGCGTCCACTGTAGGGGCCGTTTGTATCCGTGAAGGAGCGACTCAACATCTCGGCCTTTTCGGGGGGGGATGCCAGCGTGAGCAGCCTTTTCCGTTATCCTTTGTTGTTTTTTCCGCCCTTTGGAGTGTCGAGGACCATAAAGCTAGACGAAGGCTTTCGAAACGGTGGCATTGATGCCCCGAGCAGCCTTCTCTGGGCTACGTGCGTGCAAGTTCGGGAGCTGATTCGACGCCAACGCCAGACCCAGATCTCCAACGACCTGCAGGATTCAATACTGGTTCCTCGTAGTTTCAATTTTCGGCCTCCAGGGGCCGTCTTCGGTTATCAGGGCGGCCAAACAATCGATCCAGTGTAAACAAGCGGCCCTGTGCCTCAGGATGGCCCGTGCCAGAGTCAGCATACCCAGATTTGCACTTAGGGATTATACTTTCTCTTCTAAGGAACTGGCCCTGAATGTCGATCTGGCGGCCCGTCGTGTGGCCCTGAATGTCGGTCTAGCGGCTCCGTGCTCGCCGTCGCCGCCCCGTCGCCGCCTCGTCGCCGCCCGTTGTCTGGGCCTGGGTGTCGATGTGGCGGCTCTGTGCTTGCCGTCGCCGACTCGTCGCCGCCCGTTGTTTGGGCGTGATTGCCAGTCTGGCGGCTATGTTGTCGCCGTCGCCGCCTTGGCGCCGCCCGTCGAAATTGCGCACCACACAGTCTCTCCGTTCCAAAAGGAACTGGGATCGACCACCCCACCCGGGATTATCGGGCTGGCATCGCGAATTGTAATTTACGTTTCTGATTCTGCCCCGTCGTTCGTTCTACACATGAAGTCATGCAGTCCCAGCCAGGCCAAGTTCCCCCTTCAGAGGCACATGAACACTATGCGCGCACACTCGTTCGTCAAAGCTCAGCAATTCGAAACTTCTTTGCACAGTATGTGGCAAAGTCCATACGCGCGCGCCGTCGTGTGCGCATACAACCTTCGGTTTCGCAAGGATGTCAAGACAGTGGTTCCCGAACGCATATGTGTGTTGCAATCAAACAAGTCTGCGCGCGCATTATTGCGAGTTCGTAGCACAAACCATCATACTGTCAACATGTCCACCAAACGCGACCAAGCGGGCCTGTCGCGCACGCGTGTCACAATCATTCGAATGCCTTTGCGCGCAGGCTGGGGGGTTGGGGCACGATCCTTGTCAAACAATGCCTTGCGGGCCACTCGCGCTCGTCGGCCGCGCGCGCATGTCGAAATCTCCCAACACCTTCATCACCGACACGTGGACACCACCACCACCGTCATCATCACCATCACCATCACCATCACCATCACCATCATCATCATCATCATCATCATCATCATCATCATAATAATCATCATCATCATCATCATCATCATCATCATCATCATCATCACCATCGGCGTGGTCAGCATCGGCTCCGTCATTGGCCTTGCCGTCGTCACCGTCATCGTCCTCGCCAGCATAAATACTATCATCATTGTGTCTGCCGTTGTCGACATCGCCAAGATGTCACGCCCGCCCGAGTCACCGACTCGTATTCAATTGCCTGCGCGTTAGCGCGGCCTGCGAGACGCGCTGGGAAGTCCCCAGCGGTCAGTGCCACCGCGGCCGCTTCGGTCGCGCCAGACTAGCTGGCCGTTCCGCGCGCGAGCCAGCGCGCGATAGCGCAGCCGCAGTGATGCACCAGCCAGCGCCAAGCAGTCATCGCAATCGCCGCCGCACGGGTGGGTGGGTGGGATGATTGCGCGAGCAGTGGAGTTGGCAACTTCAAGTTCGGTAGGGTGAGGTGCACCCTGTACATCTTATTCTATATTTTGCATTGCGTAGAGTGCACCACCTATACTGCACAGCATCAATGGCACCACCTATATGGCACAACACAGTTTGCACTACATCAGTTGCACAACCTGGGGTGCTCCACGCATGCTGCACACTGGAAATTACTGGAATCAGACCGTCTGGGGTCCATGTTGGTTAACATTGCTTTGTCTGTTTTGTTGTTCAGATGTTGTTCAAGATGTGGGTGACCCTTCGGAGCCCTGTACCCCGTTCCAGGGACCGCTCCTTCGTCGCGGGTTGTTTGGTTTGAGGGCCCTGGCTTCCGAACACCGTTCCCGAAGGATGCCGCAATCGCGAACAACGTGATTTCTTGTGATTCCCCCGCGCAGCGACGACGATGACAAACGACGACGGCGACGACGACGACGACGATCTCGACGACGACGACAACGACGACGTTTATGTTTGGCGTGCTCCCAGGCATGGTGGACCTACAGGGTCAGGCTCCCTCCGGCGTCCCGAAGGTGCCCCTCGCTGGGGCGTGAAGACCGAGGGAGGAGGAGGAGGAGGAGGAGGAGGAGGAGGAGGAGGAGGAGGAGGAGGAGGAGGAGGAGGAGGAGGAGGAGGAGGAGGAGGAGGAGGAGGAGGAGGAGGAGGAGGAGGAGGAGGAGGAGGAGGAGGAGGAGGAGGAGGAGTGAGGAGGAGGGAGAGGGAGGGAGAAAGGGAACAGGAGGGAGAGAGGGAGGAATGGGGAGGAAGGGAGGGAGGAGGAGCAGAGAGGGCTGAGTAGGGAGGGGGCAGGAGGAGTTTGAGGAGTTTGAGGAGTTTGAGGAGTTTGAGGAGGAGGAGTTTGAGGGGGAGGAGGAGGAAGCGGAGTTCGAGTTCGAGTTTGAGTTTGAGTTTGAGTTAGGGTTTGAGTATGAGTTGAAGGGGGGGGGGGGGGAGGAGGAGGAGGAGGAGGAGGAGGAGGAGGAGGAAGGAGGAGGAGGAGGAGGAGGAGGAGGAGGAGGAGGAGGAGGAGGAGGAGGAGGAGGAGGAGGAGGAGGAGGAGGGGAGGAGAAGGAGGAGGAGGAGGAGGAGGACGAAGAGGGAGGGCGAGGAGGAGGAGGAGGCGGATGAGGAGGCGGAGGAGGAGGAGGAGGAGCAGGAGGAGGGGGAGGGGGGAGGAGCAGGAGCAGGAGGAGTTTGAGGAGGCGTTTGAGGAGGAGGAGGAGGAGGAGGAGGAGGAGGAGGAGGAGGAGGGAGGGAAGGAGGGAGGGAGGGAGGGAGGGAGGGAGGAGGGAGGAGGAGGAGGCGGGGAAGGAGGAGGAGGATCAGGAACAAGAGGAGGAGGAGGAGGAGGAGGAGGAGGAGGAGGAGGAGGAGGAGCAGGAGGAGGAGGAGTAGGAGGAGGAGGCACGGGGCCTAGCAGTCAAGCATCAGAAAAACAAACTGGAACTAGCTGACATCAGAAAAGGTTGAGCTCAGCTCGAAGATAAACCGTTCAATGCACAAAGCTTCTAGCATGCCCTGCAGCAGTGCGATCACAATTGTATTATCGGGGCTCCTGTTTTGGGGTGGAGGCCTTTTTGGACCTTGCCGACTTTTCGCAAAACCGCGGCCACGGCCCGAGGCTCCCTGGGGGTCCCAAGGCAGGCCGAATTGAGGCCGCTCCGACCAGCCCAGCCAAAATCCCCCGTACAGGATGCCCCACACTTCGTGCAGATCACAACACGCCCATGCGCGAAAGGCTTGTGATCGAGCTCGCGGAAAACCTCGAACAGAGCTTCTTGGTCCTCCACCTCCCCGGGAGCCGGCGGCCCCAGGACCCCGTCAGCGGCAGCGAGGGCCGAGGAAACCTCACAACCCAGGAACGGGCCACGGAAATCGTGGAGGACCAAGCCCGACTGCCTTCAGTGCGGGCAACGCATGCCCACACCTTACAGCGGTACTCGTTGCGCGGCTCGACCCAAACCAAGTCGTGACGCACTACGCCCAAGGCGTTCGAGCGGGCCAAGACCGCCGGCTTAACGCAGGCGCTTTGCTCGTGCCATGCGTTCAACTCCAGAGCCCTAACTACAGCCCAGGACACATATTTAAGCAGCTCCTGAGCCCGTTTGAGCTCCGCGGCCAGGAAGTCGCAAAATCCTTGGGATACAGCGTGCTGGTGGGCCCCGAGTTTCGCAAACCAGTCTGCCCACATATTGCCGACCCACCACCTTAGAGGGATCCCAAGATCCAGGGCCTCCTGGAGGGTCTTGTGCGCGAGGACCCAAGAGAAACTGGGGCCCTCGGGCCCCCGCACCTTAAACATATTACGCCAGATTCGAGCATGCTTACCCCTCGCCGACTCCAGCGACCGATCCCACGACGACCCCTCCGACACTAACGACGACACGTCGGTGACGACGTGTTCGATGCGGCGAGGGGTGTGCTCCAACAGCTTGAAAACGCAATACCTCTCGGCCCTCCCCACAGTTTGAATGCCGGGGAGGGCGCCGTAGAGAGCGCGCACAGGAAGGAGCTCGTCATTCAGCTGCACCGCGGCGTACCCACATCTGGTAACTTCTGGCACGGCGCTGGCCAGGCCCGAGCCGTCTGTGCAGGCTTCTGGCCCCCAGCGGTCGGGAGCCGCTTCTCCCCATAGCAGGACAGGGAACGAGTCGGCAGCAGGCGCAACGGCAAAAGCGTGCGGGACGGCAGCGATGCCGTAGGCGCACTCGGCTGACTCATGACCATCGGCTTCGCCGATGTCGGCAAGGCATCGTCGAACGTCCATCTGTGAGTCAGAGATCTCGACGAGGCCAGGGAGCTCATCAGGCGTGGACAGGAGGCCTGGGCACTTGCACCACATGTGCCCGTAGGTGCCTTCGGGGGCGCCGCAGGCTCGGCACCTCGGGTCCCCATGTCCCTCGATCGCCTTGCGCCTCTCGGGCGTGACGAGTCGGCCAGCCCACAGCATCTGTATGGCGCCGAGCTGGCGCGGGGGCAGCCGTCGTAGTCCGTAGGCCACGCATCCAGAGTCGCCCGTCAGCAAGCGGAGCATGAACGTGATGAGCGATCCGCTGCCCCTGCCATCTCTGGATGCCTAGAAGAAGATGGTGGCGAAGGTCAGCGGGGCATATCTGCAGCAGGTTGTAGTGCGCGCCGAGGTCCGAGCGAACAATCGTAGATGACACCATGTCCCAGCCCAGGCGTAGCAGCGTCAGCCACGTGGCCGCGATCGGTCCTCTGGCCAGTGTCCAAGTAGGTCGGGCTCGCATTTCGGTGGCAAGCTCCTGCCACGCGCGCTGCAGCCTCGCCGAGGACACGCGGTTGTCCCAGATCCACGAAGCGTAGCGCACCACCAGCGGCACCGACGCCTCGTAAATGGGGTCGTACCTCTCGTTGGCCTGGGAGGCGAGGTAGATCGTCACGCCGCCGCCGGTAGACCATCCAGCAAGCTTGGCAGCGGCACCTCGAATCAGTCGAAGTCGAGCGTCGTCGACTCCAGAGACCCCTGCACCATGGAGCACCGACGGCGACAACCCAGTGCTCCATAGGGTCGCCACCTTGTTCCCAGCGCCCTTCTGCAGCATGCGAAGTCGCTGGCGTCGCGAATGAAGAGCGCGAATCCTGGCGTCAGCCTGCTCCTTCTTAACCCGAGGGCCCGACAACTCATGGCCCAAATTACGAATGCATTTCCGTGGCGGCAAGCCCAAAAGCCGGGCCTTATCAGCAAACTTCCGCTGGAAACGACCCCGGTTGAAGATCAGGCCCGATTTGGGCGGTTGGACGCGGAGGCCCAGGCCGAAGACGCGCTGTGTAAAGTCCACGGCCGCAGCCTGGAGGCTATTCGCGTTGTCCGTGGCAGCCCCAACGAAGTGCAACGTGGTGTCGTCCAACAGCTGGCGCGGTGTAACCTTCTCGCACCTCTGAGACAATCTCTGGATGACCCTGTAGGTGAGCACGAAAAGCAAGGTTGGGGCATGGGCGCATCCAGCCAGGACCCCTTGGTGCACCACGGCGTCCATGCTGAGGCTGGTACCCGCTCGAATCCGCCGAGGCTGGCGATACAGTGCGATGAGCATCCACGCCAAACGTCGGGGGAAGCCTACCAACTCCGCCTCGTACATCAGTTGGGCCGAGGCTATCATGTCGAAGCATTTCATCAGGTCCACAATGTAGACGATGCTTTGCTCTCCTAGCAGCGTGGCCATCTCGTGGGCCAGGTTCAAATCGAAGGCGCAGTCGCTCGAGGTGTAGTTGGCCCTGTTGCCCCAGACCGACCCCGAGTTGTGGTCACGCTCCCACTGCACTCCAAGAGGTCGTCGTGCGCGGCCCCATGCTCGTGTGAGGCTGTGCAGTAACGCGATGAGCCTCTTGCCGCCATCGGGTTTGCCGAGCTGGACGAGCTCGGCGGCAATCCTAGAGTCAGGCCAGGCGCCCAAGCGCTCACAGCACTCGAAGACCCTGGCCATGGCACCCAAGCCAGCGTCCGAGAGGAAAGCCAACGACTTAGGACAGAGTCTCGTTGGCCCAGTGGCCGTCTTAGCCGGCGAGCTCCAGCATGCCGCTCGCATCTTGGCAATCGTGATTGGCGGCAGCAGCTCCCAAGTGAAGAAATCTGGCGGCCGCTCGACGGGCCCTGCCTGGTGGTAGTCCCAGACGGTGGTCTGCCAGGTCTCCAGGGCCCTGTCCGCCTCCATGTAAGGCTGGTGGCCCTCGGTGTACGGGATGACATCTTGCTGCGGCCGCACCTTGGACGCCTTGTGTGCCCCCGACGCTCCACGGCCGAAGGCGTCGCGCAACCAGGCCTGCCATGCCTGGTAGGAGGCGTTGTCCGCCTCACGTAACCTGGCCGCTGCTGCAGCGACCACCCGCTTGACGGCATAGTCGAAGTGCTTGGAGCCCAGGAAGGCGATGCCCTGCGAGAAGTGCTTCAGCACAGTGGGGCCCATGAGCTGCAGCACCTCGGGGTGGGCGCCCCACCCACGCATGAACGCGTGCACGTCCTCCAGCAGGTTGAGGAGCTGGGAGGAGGTCTTTTCGAACTCCTCGCGACCAAGGTTGAGAGTCTTCATGACGTCCACCTTGGCAACAATGAAGGCGCGCTGCCGTGCCAGGTGGTCCATCCATCTCTTGGCGACGGCCCAGTTGTAAATGGATGCCTCGCGGTACTGCCGTCGTCGTTGAGGCTTCCATTTAACCTTCTTCCAGCGCAGCTCCAGAGGCCCAGCACGACCTGAGTGGTGAACCGCGGCAGGACCAGTTTTGTCCCATCGGCCGCAAAACTCCGCCTCGATGCCCTCCAGGAGCTGGTCCCAGATGCCGGGTAGCTCGTCTGCTCCAGTAGCTAACGTAGATGACGCCAAGACGTCTGAGAAGTCGTAGGGCGGCCTTGCACAACCAATAGGAGGGATGGGCGCGAAAGGCTGCGGCTCATCGGCGACACAGACCCAAACTTCGCGATCGGACCCGCGGACCCCCAAAGTAACAGGCCTCGAGGTACAGGCTGATGCACACCAGGCCTCGGGGCACGCCACAATGCACTGCAGCAGCGACCGCGCGGCCTGGCACAAGTACAGCGCCACGTCCCGGTGGCTCGGTGATGGAGATGGAATTGGGCGTCAGGATCGCCACTCCACCTCTCGAGCCTCCTGCCTCACTCTCGACCGCCGCCGACCAGATGCCGTGCCAGCCGACGTCCTTCAGGCGGTGCTGCATCTCGCCCAGATGCGCCTCCACGATGTGGTGCTCCTGGACGGCCACCACGCGGATGGACTCGCTCACCTGTGCTAGGTGGTCGAACATGGGCCCGTGCGAAGTAGTGTTCGCCGTGCACACCGCGCCCTTGACCACCGAGGCCTCCTGGTCTCGCACGGGCGGAGCGTGAAGTCGCTCCCCAGGTACTGCGAGGCGCGTCTGCTCGCGGTGGCGGCCAGAACCATGTGGGGAACAACAGCGCCGTTTCCTCAAGCCCCCCCGGCTCCCAGCTGTCGGGCCCGGGCACGCCGAGGCCGCCAGGTCGCCCACGAGGCCGCCAGGGGCGCCCGGGATGGCTATTTGGGAGTCTCCGGAGTGGCCGAGAGGCATCCAGGGGCAGCCCAAGCAGACTCCAGCCGAGCTGCTCGCGGCTGCCGACGCCGCTGGTCTTGTCAGGAGGCTCAGCATCAGCCACAAGATCGCGACACCACCTCGGCCATCAGGCCTTCGTCTCGAAGCGGCTGACGCGCAGGGCACTCCGACTCCTACTGTTCGAGCTCCCGTACACTCTCCGACCAGCGCGAGGAGGAGGAGGAGGAGGAGGAGGAGGAGGAGGAGGAGGAGGAGGAGGAGGAGGAGGAGGAGGAG